TTATATTTTTTTTTTGTTATATAATAACAGTAGTTTTATATGTGTGTTCATTTTAGAGTGAAATTAAGGGATATATGTGAATTATAAGAATGAATTATCCACAGTGTTTATAGATGTGTTCAATTTTAGAGTGAGATTAAGGAGATAATGAGAATTATAAGAGATAAATTATGAGAATTATTTGTAGTTATATGTATTTAAAATAAAAGGAGAAGGGATATTTTTAAGGGTGTTTTCAAATATGAACATTAAATCCTCTTGGGTTCTCCTTTAATTTTCTACTACTAGTAGTAGTAGTATAGATATAAATGCACGAAGGAAGAATAATTAAAACAAATGTAAGTAAATGTGCTCCCAAACAAGTCACGGTAAATGCCGAGAATGGATTATAGATCTACTTTACGTGTAATTTCAGGTACGTGGCCGTTGGAAACGAACCTTTTCTAAAGACATACAAAGCCAGTTACCTTGGAACGACATTTCCGGCTCTCCAAAATATACAAGCTGCCCTGATCAAAGCTGGTTTAGGGCGTCAGGTCAAGGTTACCGTCCCTCTAAATGCAGATGTCTACCAGACAGACAGCGATCTACCCTCGGGTGGTAATTTTCGATCCGACATACATGATCTCATGATCTCCATCGTCAAATTCCTTAGCGACAATGCTGCCCCCCTCACCATCAACATCTACCCATTCCTCAGTCTATATGCCGACCCCCATTTCCCAGTTGGCTATGCCTTCTTCTCTGACAATTCTTCTCCTGTTGTCGATGGCCCCATCACTTACACCAATGTCTTTGAAGCCAATTACGACACCCTCATTTGGGCTCTTGAGAAAAATGGCTTTGCATCGATGCCCGTCATCATAGGCGAGGTCGGATGGCCAACGGATGGTGACCCTAATGCAAACATAGGCTATGCTCGTAGGTTCAATCAAGGTCTCCTCAACCGCATCATTCAAGGCCAAGGCACCCCCAAAAGGCGAAACCCACCAGACATTTACCTGTTCGCACTCCTCGATGAGGACGCCAAAAGCATCCAACCTGGGAATTTTGAGCGACACTGGGGCATCTTTAAATACGATGGAACCATCAAGTACCAACTGAACATGGGAAACAATAGAACTCTAGCCCCTGCCAAGGGTGTCCGGTATTTGGCGAGGCAATGGTGTATTATGGCACCTGAAGCAAGCAACTCCGACCCCAATCTGCCACAGAGCATCAACTATGCTTGCACCTACGCCGATTGCACGAGTCTGGGATACAGATCCTCGTGTGGCGGGCTAGATGTTAGGAGCAATGCTTCGTATGCTTTCAACATGTATTATCAGACAATGAACCAACAGAGAGGTGCATGTGAACAATTCCACAACTTATCGACGACGACAACCATTGATCCATCTGGAAGCAGTGTTTGTAGATTCGAGATCATGATCGACCTGGGAAGACATGAGCAAACTCAAAACCCAAACACATCGTCATCTGGAAGAAAGCGAAGACCAGTTACAAGCGTAGCGTTTCTATTGGCATTGATCATTGGTGGTGTTCTCTGAGCTCTAAAATTGTCCACTTTCCATTGACTTTGTGCCCGGAGATGGGAGTCAATGTGTTTTCAAAAAGGTCCGAGGGTCTCTTTACTATTAGAGCAATCCAATCCATAGGGAATGCCATTGATATTTATACCATAGAAAAGACTCCACTGTTGTGTTAGGTCCTTTTCGGTTTGGGGTTTTATATCCTTATGGTGGTAAATCGTTAAGGATTGTGTGATGGAAGGTGATGTGGTAAGCAAGTTTCATTCGCGGAACTTGTCATTTGTACTTACTAACTTATATAATAAGGGACAATGAATTTTGAATTTTTAGAGAAAAAGTAAAACTCAAATCACTGGCTGCTTATTGCTTTCAAAGTTTACATTAAATCTCTCATGGTCAAAATTTTCTGTTTGGTTTCACAAGTCCTTTGCTTTTAGATGAATTTTGCCAATTGAATATCTTGACTAGAATTATAATTCAGAAGACACTATCCTTGGTTGAATTTCAGCTGACATTTCTTAAACCTATACCTATGGGGCATACTGATGGGCATTGGTTTTCATGATGTGTTGGTTTTGATGGCAGATTTATTTTTTCGTTGTTTGTATGGACTACATTGAACTAATTTACATTTTATATTTTCTTGAGCACATGGAAACCATACGACTAAAGTTGAGTTCGGGCTTTAAGCTCGGTTTGTCTTAGTTTATATCATGCACCTCACCATAAGTCTTTGGTTCAATAATATTTTTTGTCTTGTAAAGGTTTTACTTTCTTGAGGTCAATGGTTCAAGTCTCCCTCTCACTCCCCCTTCCCTTACCCTTCTCCCTCCCCCAAAAAAAATATCGCGCACCTCATGGCAAGTTGCTTGAGCTGCACAGGTCACTCTTCCCCAGCAATGATGCCACCAAGGTAACAGTAAGGCTGACAGCTGGAAATTGCCTAGGCGTTACACATAAAGCGTAATTGTCTCACATTCAGGCAAGAAAGTCGCAACTGCCAAGGTTGCATCCACAGCAATTATGAATGGGGGACAAGGATCACACCGGAAAATTATACGAAGCCCTTGGAGGCTATAAATAAGAGGCATATTCCTCACAATGAAACACAAAAAACTAACCTAAGCAAATACTATGGGTAATCTTTTCCCTTTATCAATAAAACCATCCCCAGGAGCAAGAGATTTTCTTGAGAATTGATTAGCCGAACTCCCGAGCTAGTGAACTACTATAAACTCTCTGTTTGCAATTCCTCATCTCCCTTGTTTAACTCTTAAGAGCCTAAGAGCTTCGACTGTGTCATCTAGTGATTCATTAATCCCTAAAGGTCATAGCTTTGATCAATTGTGCAACACACATCATCAGTTGTTGTCGTTTGTTGGAATAACTTCCTATAAAATTTTACTTACACCTTCAATAATTGATGGTTTCTATGCGCAGCATAAACAAAAGTCAGATAAACTCTCTACGTTTACAGAACCAATAAGAAGTCACAACTGGAAGACAACTGGAGAACCCCCTCCCCCCCCCCCCATGCCTAATCCTGATGCTAATCCCCCAATGGTGAACCCTCCCTTCCAAACGACGAACTCAATGCCCTTCAACGAACTCAATGCCCTTCGACAAGCCTACCAACGTCTCCTCCAAGAAAATGAGGAGTTCAGGGGAGGGATGATGAATCTAGAGTAGGGCGGCAGGCCATGAATGATTCTAGGCTCCTTGTCTACAACTCTGAATCCATCTAACAGTCACCCACTCAAAACCCTCAGCCCTTGTTCTCCTCTACAGAACACCTCAACATACCAAACGCTGACATTCTAAATCCCAAACCCCCAGACCTAGGTGTGTGTAGTAGAGTAAGGAACAATGGAAAGTCCCCTAGAGAAAACTTATCACCTTCAAGACAATCTGATGAATCTACTCTTCCATCCGGATGAGGAGAGCAAATGAATTGTTCTAGTTCATTGGTCAGTGGAATCATCTCTCCTTATGGTGGAACCGTGCAAGCTTAGAGAAACAAAGATCCAAACTACGGCTGTCTCACTGAGACTAACAATTCCAATCGAGAAATTTAGCGAGATTGCAAGACATAAACTGGATATTGACGAATCCACACCTCCTCCCATTATTTAATGATGTCTTCCATGAATTTACTTGTTTGGAATTGTAGGAGTGCAGGCAACAAGAAGTTCAGAAGGGTGTTCAACGATATGTTTAGGGCTTATAAACCAGACATGGTGGTGCTTCTAGAAACAAAAATCCAAAGTAACTAGATGGGGAATTTCTTTGATCAGTATGGTTTTACTGCTTTTGAGTGTATGGAACCTGTAACGCCCCAAAACACACCCTGGATGACATTACATTCTAAAATCATTCATATCATGAGAGCACTAATATAATCCCTTAAAAAACAAGACTTTATTTGTCATCCACGAATATTTATAACATTATCCAAAAGAATAAGCCCAAGTCATGGCTATTACATCTCAAAAATTAATTAAGGAAGCGCAGCGGAATAAACAAAAGAAGCTAGACTACACAATGTTTCAAAAGAATGTCCTAGTCTAGTACAAAAAGGAAAGGAGGTCGCTCTATGCGTCCACCTCGGGATCCACACTCCCGTCCCGTGGAGTCTCCCAAGTAGCGGGCTCCTCGACCCTTACGTCCTCCTCCTCAAGCGGGTAATCTGAAAAATGTTAGCAATAGGGGGTGAGCACGAAGCTCTGTAGAAACATTCTCCCAAACCCATACAAGGTTTAGAAAAGCATTTAAAACGGTCGATCTCAATTTTAACATAACATAGACACATAATTTGAAATAAAGCAGTGACATTTAAAAAGGATCTCAAGTTTATTTAAAAACATTACTTAAATGAATAAATGAGCACCACATACAAATAATAACAATTAATTGTCATAACCAATTTTCAACAATTCTTTCAGTAGGTGGCATACTTTGTGGTAACCTCCACCCCCCTTTTAGGTCACCTTTGATTCTCAAGCATCCTTACCGGGAACCTCTTGAAAATGGATGAGCATCCTTACATGGAACCTCTCACCAATCACTACATTATTTTTCAAGCATCCTTACCGGGAACCTCTTGGGAAGGGGTGAGCATCCTTACAAGGAACCTCTCACTCATGTGCATCATAAACAACCCAACCAAGCATAAAATTCCAACATTTATCTCAATTTACAAGCATCTATCCAAAATTTCCAAAATATATCATATAACAATTTCACAACTAACTAAGAAAATACATGAGATCACAATAACATCATTTTTCTACCCAACACAAAGCACTAAGGTTTTGAAATCCATAATAAAGAAAGCATTTAGGAAGGAAATACATCACTCTCCAAAAATTAGGGTTTTAAAACTAGAAAAGAGATTTCATGGGTATTAAACCCTACTTTGTTCAAAACATGTAATCCTTGCAAAAAGCCTAAGAGAGGATGATTCCATAGCATATATATATCATTGATAGCCAAAACATACATATATAAATACCCTAGCCTCAATGTAAGTGAATGAGAAAAACCCCTACCTTGAATCCTTAGCTTTGGAGTGAAGAACAAGAATATTTGATCTTGAATCACCCTTGAATCTCTTGTTTTTCCCTTCTTTTCTTTTTCTCTAATGCCCTCTAGGGTTTCAAGAGGTGTGGGGGTGTGAGGGGAGTGAAGGAAATGAGAAAATGAGATGAAAATGAGTTTAAAACATAGCAGCCCCGAAAAATACTGTTCACAGGCTGTTTTGGGTTCTCCAAATTTACGATTTTGCCACTAAGAATCTCCAATTTGATCCATATGACTACCCTAAGGTTTTTCGACGTTCTGGATTCATTTTTAATGTTATTTTAACCTAAAATATTTATTTTTATGATTTATCTCAACACCCAAGTCAACGTACATCCGAAACACTAAAGTTTCTATTTTACCCATCCGAATCGACTATTTATGAAGTTTTGCGATGTTTGCAAATAAAAGGTGATAAAGGGTGTTTTTTAAAGCCTTTTATACTTATTTGAAGCCTAAAAGTACTCATTATTTTTATATTTTGATTTAGGATGCAAATGGAGACATTAAATGCAAAACGAAGCTAATTAGACTATTTCGACATTATTTCGTTATCTTAGCATAACTCTCTCATCCAAGCTCCGATTGAGATGATTCAAGATGCTATGGAATGATACGAAAGAGCTCTAAAACTTTCATGTTTTGAGTTTTGAGAGATATTGACTGCATCAAAGTTTAAATCGAGCTTGAAGTTGCAGCAGTGCACTGTTCATAGCCTGTCTTCGTCCCTTTTCCATTTTCAATCCATTCCTAAGCCAACCAAATCTATCCAAACCTCTCCAACACATATTTCTACACCAAACCTATTTAATACAAGTTTTAGGACCTAAAATTTCATATTTTCACTTATTAAAATCAAATTTCAACTATTATTTTCACTAACATTTTAAATCTCTACTTTTTCAATCTACCAAATTCAAACACACATCACTACATATATCCACATTTTTTTATCACAATTATTTACTATATATCTATATACATATATAAAAAAAAATGTGGGGTGTTACAATCCACCCCCCTTAAAGAAAGTTTCGTCCTCGAAACTTACCTCAAGTAGCGAACAAATATGGATACTTCTCCCTCATTTCTTGCTCCGGTTCCCATGTAGCTTCCTCCACTCCATGGTGTTGCCACAAAACCTTCACCAATCTGATAACTTTGTTGCGAAGCACTTTTTCCTGGGCGTCGAGAATTTTTACCGGTTGTTCTTCGTAGGTTGCTCCGTCTTGAATTTCAATCTCCTCCAAGTTCACGACTGGAGTTGCATCCGAGTGACACCTTCTCAACATGGACACGTGGAACACATCATGTACTCCGGATAGCTGGGCTGGTAGTCGAAGTTGATATGCCGCCTTGCCTACCGCTTTGATTACCTCAAACGGTCCGGTATATCTTGGCGCTAACTTCCCCTTCTTGCCGAATCGAAACACGCCTTTCTTGGGTGACACCTTGAGAAATACGTAGTCTCCCACCTTGAATTCTAAGGGTCTTTGTCTGTGGTCCGCATAGCTCTTCTGTCTACTTTGCGCCGTCCGTAGCCTCTCTCGGATAAGTTGAATCTTCTCCGTAGTTTCTCGAACAATGTCCGGTCCAAACAAACTACTCTCGCCGGCTTCTAACCAACACGTCGGTGATCGGCATGGTCTTCCATACAATGCTTCATACGGTGCCATCCCAATACTTTCTTGATAGCTGTTGTTGTAAGCAAACTCCACCAACGGTAAGTGGTCGCTCCAACTCCCCTTGAAGTCCAACGCGCAAGCAC